AAAAGGGAAAACAAAAGGAGTTACTTTTTCAAGAAGACAACACAGGAAGGATCTTCTTCTTTTGGATGAAAATTTAAATTTGTAAATAAACAAATATACTGAACCGGTAATAGGATTGATATTTAAATTACAATTTACTTACGTAACATTACTAAGTTGAATAAAAACACATGGAGTCCTTTGTAATGTACAATATCATTTTTTAGTGCTCTATAAAGTACATTCTGTATGTATTTTTTTCATTTCCAACGTCTTATAATTTTTCTTTTTAATGACATTATGAAACTTCCATAATGTACTAATTTTTCATAAGAGCTGTGGGATTTTTTTTTGCAATTTTAATATATTGTACTGTACCTAGGTTTATGGCATAGAGTATTATGTACAGTATCAGATTACCACAAGACAACTAATTCAAGTTAGTGCCTATTTAGATAATGTAATACCAAATTGAATTCCTTGACCTAAACATCCAGTGGATCACCCCAAGCCAATGTTTCAACCGGTCTGCACAGAGGAAAATTAGATAAGATCCCTAAATTATGTATAAAATATTGGTCTCTTATTTTCCTCAAATATGTATTTTAGTGAGACTCCTAATATGTACTTTACCTTTTAGTGACGGAATACAGTAATATCTCCGTTAGCCGGAACAATTGGCGCAGAGCTCTTCCGGGAACGAGAGATTTCCGGGTAATGAGAAGACTCTCTCAAAGCAGGAAAAATCCCTTATCCCCAGAATTTTTTTGAATTTTCCAGGTAACAGAAAATTTTTCTCAAGTCCCAGACCTTGCACATTACATTATCTCTCAAACCTGGAAAATATCCCCCATCCCTGGAATTTCCCGGGTTTCGGGAAAGTTTTCTCTGAATTTTCTGGAAAATGTGCCCCTCTGAAAATCGTTCCCAACTCGTTATTTTCTAGACAATTCCGGCTTTGGAAACAATTTTCCGAGAAAATTGCAATTCCAGCTATCAGAGTTCCGGGTTTGGGGTATTCCTGCTAATGGATATTACTGTACCTCCCTGTACTTCATTATAATTCACTCACCATCCAAGATTCTGTACCTGTACCTTTATTGTATACCTACACCTGTACTTCATACCTACACCTGCACACAATTAAGTGCATAATTCTTATTCTGGTACATAGGTAAGTGAAGAAAAACTTTATGGTAAAATACTGTGTTGATCAATAGAGGTTAGCCCTGATGTGGATGAGGGAGGGGTCATCCACACTCCTGCTACTAGCTGGTCATCCACACCATAATGTGGGGGAAGGTATGAGTCACCTGCCTTCCTGCTGCACCAGGCTAGGTAATCCACACCATGATGTGGGTGAGGGAGGGATCATCCACCCTCCTGCTGCTGCTGGGTCATCCAAACCATGTAAGAGATGGTTTTGTTTGACCAAGGCAAGTCAAATGGATGGACAGAACAAAACCACTATATCTCCCAAGCTTATCTGGTTGAGGGGATAAAAGAAGGAAAATAGAGAATGAAAAAAAGCAGAATTTATTATAATTATCATGTATAACATCACAACAGCCATAACATTCACAAGTCATGAAAATCTTATAAAAATAGCCTCCTTGCTACTTCAAAGGAAGACATATTTGTAGTACAGGTATATTAAGATAATTCTATTCAAATGGTACAGCCACATATGCTTAAGCAGTTGACAGACAGTAGGAACAGTGTGTCCAAAATGTACAAACATTTATGGCATTCGTTGCTATTACGGAATAATTACACCATCACTTTCATCGGTTTCCAAATAAAAAATTGCAATTTATGGGTTTCAATATTTACTATGCATGTGCCAAATACATAACTGTACGCACCTTTGCTGTCAATTAAGTACATGTTCACCAAGAGCACCTTTAACAGTAAGTGATTACAGGTCATTCATCCCTAAAAAAATGTCAGAGGACACCCTCTCCATAATTTTCCAGCATCTTTGGTCCTCAAGTTTAAATAAAATATCTTAAGATATACATGTAAAATACCTTGCTTGCATTTGTCTTTCATATCTTATAATGGTTTGGTTCTGTAGGCATTAAAATCAGGTAAATTTAGCCTCCCCCCCCCCCCACCCCAAGTACCGTTAACCATAGGGGGCAATGGTGTGTTGGTCCACTAGTTTTAGAACAGCTGACCACTGGTATTAGTACAGTATACACTATTACCTACTATGTAGATCAAATTAACTGGTAATCCTTTTGTGCACAGAAATACCAGCATTAATGATAAATTACAGTACCTAGTAAACCACAAAGGGTACAACCCACCTTCCCCAGTTATTACCGATATGGGGAGGAGGCATACACACATAGGATGATGCACTGGAGAATACGATTACTGTATGTCCAAGCATTTTGTCCATCGTTTCAAATTGTAAAGATGGAAAAACAATACTTTTTGGGGGGACAGTACATGTGTACAGTAAAGCATACTGATTGACAGCCCACAGATCCAAGATTACTAGAGTTCTATTATATTTAACAACTGCCTATAACTATGTACATTGAGCTCAAGTATGGGGAAATTCATTTTAGATGTAGGACCTACTGAAAGTCACTAACAAAAACATACTCATCATTTCCAACCATAATCCTGGTGGGTTTTCAACTTTCAAGGAACTATTCACTTACATAAAACCATTAAGCAATATTTAGCCTCTATGGAATAAGTTAAGGAATGTAATACTGTTATATTAAAGCAAATTAACAAAATATATTATATAACTAGTCTTAAGATATAGTAAATGCAATATGAAACTGGAAACCAGACCATAACTTCTGAAGCTTATTGGCATAAAGTAAAAAAAAATTGCATAAATTTTTCATTACAGACAAGTATCACACTCAAATTAAGTATCACTTTTCTTCAATGTTGCATTGACCATTACCACTGGGGAAAAGTAATACTCCAAAATTATGCTTTAACAGAAGATGAACTAAACTATATCCGAATGACTTTCCACACAAAATACCTACCAATACAGTATGCTAAAGAGTCTTGGTAAATGTGTGTATGTGTACCACTTTTATGAACTTCACAAACATACAGGTAACAAAGAAAAGTAAATTTTGTTGCAAGATCACACATTAAAATAAGCCTGGAAACCAAATTCATAAACGCCCGACTTGAAGATGTAGTAAATTATGAAGGCCAGACACGAAGTAGCTAACGAATATATTAATAAAAGTTCTGGTTCAATACAAAATTAAAAAAAAATTATCCAACTTAAATACTAAACAAATTTGAAGACATTAAATTTTGTACGGCCATTTTGATAATATTAAATATATATTGTACAGGATTCACACAATATTATTCCACTTCTACAGTCTTGACTAAAATTAAGACTGTACATATTTCAGCAAGTCTTAAATCTCTAATACAGGTACATCTAAACGGTTATACTGTATACAACACAATGAGGATAATAAGCATGAAATTGTGTGCTACAGTTAAATACAGTACAGTATTTACATTTGTGGTGCAAAATCTTAAAACTAAAAGCACTTCCTTGTACAACTCTGACACCAAAATATTTCTATTGTGAGAATCAGGTGAGACAACCTAACATTAAATGAGGATAATTTCAGATCATAATTTCATTTAAGATATTTGCCTTCCCAACTACCCAATTCATTTTGTGTCTAGGATGTCAAATTAATTCCTACAACAAAATCTCATTACTGGTAGAGTTACAGTATTAACTAAACCTCAACACACAGTACCAGTACTTGTATAGTGAAAACCATAATGATTAAACACATCAGCTTTCCAGTCAACTAGGCATCACTAACCTGTAATAATCGGCAACAGTTCCAAGACTGCAAAAATAAGCTAAAGCTGTAATATTTACACGTTGATATGAGAAGATACTCCACGAGCCGATTATAGGCCAATGATCGAGCAACATTAACGATTAATAAAAAGGAAAAGCTGGGATACATTTATAACAAGAACTTCCCAAGTCCTCTGCTTATATATGCATATACTTGCATGATATGTCATAAGTCTGCAAGTGATGCAGACTATTCAGGAGCACCATAAGTCCTTCACCCACAAGGTTTGGTTAGGATGGGTTCTCGCTACTGTAGAACATGGACACTTTGGACCAAACATTCTTATCAAGTCTAAAGAGACCATTTCAGAATCCCAACTGTCAAAACAACCTATGTTCACTACAATGCCTCCTGAGCACAGCTTTGAACAATTGGCATTCTAATTTAAAATTAAAGCTGTATTTATCACATCAGTTCTTCATTCCTGACTACCTTATAACTGTAACAAGAATAAAAACTTCCTAAGTTAATTGTGCCCATAGCTGTCATTAACCACCACACAATAACATCTATTTATGGCTCATTTTGAAAAACTACATTCATGAACTTATTTATACCATGTGGTCTGCAGTAGAAGGCTATTTATCTCGCCAATCATCACCACTCCTCCTCGTGATGAACCAGCTGTAAAGAATTACCAATAAAGTCTATAAATAAAGACCCAGATCACTCGTGTAAGGCATTTCTAAACAACTTTGTATTTTGCTCCAACACTTTCCCCAAGTACAATCCACTACATACTATATGAAGGAAAAATGCAGTCAACACACAACAACCTATCATGAGGACAGCCACAAATGCTACTGGTTTCTAATCCAGCCTGCACTTCGGCACCTCAACTACCCTGAGAGATTGGAACACCTGAACTTGCCTAGCTTATACTACAGATGGGCAAGGGGCCACCTAATTGAGGTGTATAAGCATCTCAAGGGGCACTACCTGGAGCTGGCGGACACTCGCCCCACAAAGTGTCACAGCTCAAGGTTGAAGAAGTCACAGAAAGTCCAGAAAACTGCAAGGGCAAACTTTTTCATAGCAAAAATAGTGAACTCTTGGAACAATCTGCCAAAGTGTTGTGATGGCACCGAGTGCGAGCTCTTTCAAGACCAGACTTGACCAACACTGGAGCAGGTTCAGGTACATTCAGGAGCCAGTGCATGCCCAGTACTTGCCAATAGTGCGTAACGGAGACGTAACCGATCGCCCAAGCGGCTAACGAGCCGATCAGTGGTGAAAAGGATAAAAGTAAAAGTAAAGTACCGTATGTTTATATTACTGTTCACCTTTTGTAAACGGTTAATGTGGGTTAACGAGGCCCGATACAGCACACATGACTACGTAAGCTTTCAGTACTGTACACCAGGAGGAGGCAGTGTGACCAGTGTTTTGCTTTATCACCTTCACTTCACCAATTGAAGATGGGTAACCATTTACAGCTGGGTGAACTGAAGATGGTCCAGACAAACCAGTAATCCTTAAACAAAAGGCAATTACTGTATCCAAAAGGATTCAATTTATAGACAAGCTACTGAATTAGCATACAAATACTTCTTAAACACTACACGAACCTTTGGCATCAAGTGCACACTTAATATGATATGCAGCAAGTCGGGGGCCTATGCCTAATCCAAAAACAATCCGGTAAGGAGAAGTACGATCATTTTGCATTAAAAGGTGTGGGGGAAAAATGTAAGTGTGAAATGACAGCTTATGACAAGACGACTCTAAACTGAGTTTTCTTACGTGTTTCTCAAGTCACTTATTACTGCTATACTTCCAACAACCATATCAAGAAAATTAAGCACATCAAACACTTGTGTGGGTACTTCATGGGGCTTTAAATGTGTTCAATAAAATTAACAAATGGATTACCATACAACATTACAGAATGTTGGTAGTCCTTGCATATTCTACCTTAAAAAAATTTCCCCGGAATCAGCTAATGATATTCAATATCATTCATAAAAACTTATCCACAAGACAAAGGCTTGATTTCACAAATAAAATAATTGCGCTTTAAGCGTTTTTGTATCACTTTGCCGAAGCATTACCACAATGTACTTTTGAGATTTTCACTAACTAGTAAAACTTTCTGCAAGTACAATATCATAAATTTCAACCAATGCTTCTGAGTAAATATGTCCTAAGAAACTTAAAAATTACAGTATGTATAGTAAAAAATACTCTCAATACTTAAAAGTTACCATCTAAAAACTACCACTAACTACAGGTCACTCAGTAACTGATCTCTACAAGGCTATCTGATGGCCTGATGAACTCCCCTCAAGGAAAGTAACCAGACCAAGGCAACATAACTGAGGTATAATCAAACTTCCTTTGCTCAACCTGCAGACTTCAAGACTTCAAACCCCATAGTATAACCCTCCGATCTTCACCGCCAGTCACCAGATGCAGGTTGTCGAGACTCACCGATAAACTCGTAACAGGACCTGAAATTTTAAAAAAAATTTAATTCTTACAATTCATTTGTACACAGACCATGGTAGTTGACATGATCACTATCAATTTTATGATGCAAGGCATAACTAATTAATGAAGCTTTAGTCTGTACCAATTTTAAAAACTATAGAAATGATTAATACTGTATCCCACACTTTGCCGTGGCTCATTTCCAGGTTTTATTTTATTTAATCTGTTTTTGTATACAGTAGAATGTCGATATAACACAAGATACGTTCCAAGAGGGGTCGCTTTAAAACGAATTCGCACTAAATCGAAGTATTGTTTTAATAGAATAATTTAGTTTGGTACTTAAGAGAAACAAAATACTAAAAAGACAGTCTACCCAGATGCACCTCAGCCCATCTCCTAGAATAAACAAACTTTGTTTTTTGTAGTATTATGTTACAACAAACACTCGTAAATCAACATAGCTAAAATTAAGGGACGTGAAATGGGAAGTGGGAAGTTCGGGGGAGAGGTGGGGTGATATGTTTGACAGTTGATGCCAAGGTCTAGTGCTTATTTATTTATCTGTCCTTAAGAGTGACTAAGCTTTTCTCTTATAAAATGTCACTGAACTGACATGTTTTAAATAATTTTATTACAAAGGGCTAAAAATTTTATCTCAAGTGCAAAATATATGACTTTATATTCAAATTATTCAGTCTTGCAAGGATTCTAGCAATGCAAATTATATTCTCCTAACTTTAGCATGTGACATTATTTAAGATAAAAACTGTAAGCCTGTAACCACCCAACCCTGGATGGGAAGATGGGGGGGGGAGGGAGGGAAGGAGGTGACACCTTTGACAGTTGGGGGCCGAAGGTCTAGCGAAGTAATTACTATACAGTACCGGTATTTGTTTATTAATATCGAGTTTTTGTTTTTGGTTTATAAAATGTCACAGAAGAGACCGGGGATAATAATTTACATTACTGGAATTCTTATACTGTAAGATAGTGATTAATTTGAATATAATCATGCTATAGTTGACACTTGATCAAAATTTAGTAATCATTTAGTACATTATTTTGAGTACATGTACAGTACAGCTTTGCCCTTAAGACAGTGTAACGTACCCAGAGAAACCTTAGGCGCGAATTTTAAATTATGATGCACAAGATTGACTCGCACAAAAAAGGAAAGATTCGCTATAAATTAAAACATTGTCCTTAATTGTGGGTGTTGCTTTAAATCAATAATCTTAAATTGAATCACTTTATATCTACATTCTACTGTACAATATTCACCAATACAAAAAGAAGGTGCAGTAAACCCTTGATAACTCACGAATATATTGGACTAACCATTCCAAGTTATCAAGGCACTTTCTTCCTGGTCTAATGGCCCACCCCAATACTAAACTTTTTGGCCAAAATAACCAACCAGAGTCAGAAAACTAGCACAAAAATTAACACTTGCCACAACTGCAGGCAAAGGAGGAGGATAAATACACCTCCTACTAGACCTTGGGGAGGGGGCAGAAGCCATATCAATGTGGGTGGACTAGCACTTTGCACAAAACACATGAAAAAAGTAGAGTGACTGTGGGTGGGTAGCTTCTCACTAGGCCTACCGACGGGTAATTGAACGGCTGACTGGGCAAAACCTCCCACACACTCGTCTGGGTCGCACGTGTTGTGCCATTCTGAGATAGCATCGTCATATCTGAATATTGCGAGTTTATGTAAAATATAATTTGAAAATTTACGTTAAATATTTTGCTGCCATTCCAAGTTATATCAAATTAAAAGTTTTCAAATTACGAGTTTTCAAAGGGTTTACTGTATTTGTATCAACTCACAATTGTGTGCCTTTAACCTCTTGATCACCAAACCAGTCCCCATGTCGAACATTATCACGTCACCCGACTCGCCACCTGCAATGACCAGTCGTCCTTCCCAAGCCACACACCTGTCAGTTACAAGGTCCAAATACCACAAGAATTAGTAATAACAAAATCCACTGCTACACAAATTTACACAACTTAAAAATAATATCCATGTATGTACTGTATTCTGTAAAATGAGTACGGTAACCTGTACTAGAAAAATGGCTCATCCTGCAGCCCACCAACACACTGATCACATTCTGTGTAGTTTTCCAATATTCAATTCCACAAGAGGAGCCATTGCATTTCAAGACGAGAATTTACAATGGCACCAACATCAAACTGCTTTATTGGATCTTGCCGTGTAGAAGTTGGTTTCTTTTCACATATACCAAGGGTCAAAATGTCCAGCAACAATAGCTGGAGGTTTAACTCAGAAGTATCTTTACAGAGGGGTCCGGTGAATTTCAAAATGAACGCTGCAACTCCTATTATCTCGGAAGAGTTGTCAAAATCTTTCAGCCATTGTGTCGTATTGTCCGACAAAACTGTGATTTTTTTTTTTTTTTTTTGCAGGGTAGTGAGTGTACTACCTCAAGCCCAATAGATTAAATTTACCTCAACACATATATCTCTAACACATTTCTCAAATACTATACAGTAAAACCCCCTCAATTCATACTCCCCCAATTCGAAATCACTCATAATTCGTAAGGTTTTGCCATTACGAAATATATGTTAAAATTTTTTTAAGATTTGGCAAGATTAAAAAAATATGGGAGACATTTCAAAATACTGTACAGTTACTATGATCTACTGTATACAGTAAAACCTCGATAAATCAGATTTTTTTCGGACTCTGGGGTGCTCTGGACCACTCCTCCATTCACCGGAAATATATTTTTTTTAAATTGGAAAATGACAAAATACAGTAATGAAAGTAAAAAAATAAGTCAACAGGTAAATAAAATACTGCAATGTTTAACCTCGTATCAATGGATATTCGTTACTCGGACGTTTGTAACCCAGGGACTGCCCGTACATAATCATCCCTGAAAAATGTCATTGGTAACCAAACTTTAAGTCTGATTTTCAACCCAGAGAGTTCAGTTTCATATATTTTATTATTGATGTATAATAAGGTATCAATAGTTTGTGTATTACAACAACTGATTTTCTTTCAGCAGTATTATCTCCATCCACCCCTCCCCATAGATTTGCTTTTGTTTTTTTTACTTTCGCAGTTTCGGACTGAGGTCTGCCCCAATTAATAGTTCGATTTATTGAGGTTCTATTGTATATACCCTGTATTACAATTTTTGTAATACACTCGTTAATTCGACAAAAAATAGGGGGCTTTGGGTCACTTGAATTATCGAAAAATCTAGCATTTCACAGGCGAGGAGTGCTGGCAACATTGTTAAGGAGTGTGGGACCGAACAGCTGTTACCGCTTTGTAAACAAGAGACCGGGAATAAACTATGGCGCAACATCTCATCTGGGATCGAGTATCAATGACTTTCGATAAGGTTTTATTTACCCAGCACCTAATTAACCTAAATAATACGGGAATTATGGTGAAATTACATGCTAGTTATAAAGGGAGCGAGGGCTGACAAGCCGAATGCCAGGTCTAAACAGCACTCCCCTCACTGGCTACATGCCCAGATGTAGTTTATATCTTACTATAATTTATATTTTATTTCTATGATTCATTCATCTTTATCTATTTCATAATACACGTACAGTATATGCCTATAATAATATAATACTTTTCAGTTCCACTTGGTTATTGCATTCATTCCAACTTAAAATTGTTCAATTCATTAAAAAAGGCATATAAATTAAGCCAAAATCATAATCATAACTACCCAAATTAATGAAGGTACAGTGTATTGGGCAACACGTGTCGGTCAGTGCACAGCTACAGTGTAACCTGCAAGCTTTTCCCCACTTGTTTTTCAATCATTGCCCAGTATTTGTGCCATAGTCTGATGACCCTAAATCTGGTATTGTACAGTATCTGTACTTGACACTTAAATATTGATGGTGGGACAAATAACAAAACGACAGTACATACTGTAGTTTTGTTTGTTTTTCCCTCAGGTTGTGTCCCTTATAATTTGTAAAATCTCACGATTCATAATGGCGACTCACGATTCAAATTATGTTTTTTTTACTCTAGTTCAATGTCACGATGGAAGAATTCTGCATTATGCAAAAGCAAAATCCAAGATATTTACCTCTAGCTGGAAATCCTAATTGTGGTCCGACTGTAAGACCAAACACCTAGACACACCTTATAACTTCCTGAAGGTTGTGCACACAAATCTTTGCGCCCTGATGAGCATCAACAATGTTCAAGTGGCCATCTTCCCCACCAGTCAATATCCGATCATCTGCCTCATTCCACACAGCCGTGTTCACACCATCCGCGTTACCTAAAGCAAAGGTCCAATTTCAATATGACAGTATTCTTTTATTCACAAATGCAGTAAAATCCACAATATACTATATCAATAAAGCTGGTGTCAAAGTATCGGATAAAAATAAAGAGACGTACATTCTAACTGGTGCATCAGATTTCCTGCGGGCAGATGCCACAGGGTCAGAATGCCATCCTGGTTCCCTGTGGCCAGTAGTGATCCCTCTGGTTGTAGGGCCACACACAACACTGGTGAGTCATGATCCATTTCACAAATAATGTTCTGACCAGCAGACAGTGTGCCTCCCCGTCCTCGTGCATTCTCTTCTCCATTTCCTGCACCATTTTCTGTACCATTATCTACGGACCAAACTCGTGCCGTGCAGTCCCATGACCCTAACCAAATAAAAATCAGGTCAAGAAAACTTGCACAAGAACACACCTAGCCTCTTTATAGCACATTAACTAATGTTTAAAGCAAAATGTACAAATATTTTCAACTGGAAACTAAGGAAGTCACAGGAATCCATTCTCTCCAAAAAATGAATTGTACAGTCAGGGTCAAAAGTCTTGAATATTCACCAATATCTGGCATCTACTTCTGAGTTATACATATATGATTGGGATATACTAATAACACTACTTGTCATCACATTTTATGACAACCACAAAATGGGATAAAACTCTCCTCAATACCCAAGATCTTCGGGTATTTGCACGCCAAATATTGTCAAGTGTTCAAGACTTTTGACCCCAACTGTACATACAGTACCGTACACAGGTATGACTCAAGGTTACCAAAGAGATAAAAATTTTAGTCCTTTAGCTTAGTACATTTGAGTACAAAGCGAGTACAGCACAACAATGTTGAAAATTAAGGCTTTTTTTACAGGGAAAAATCAGTATAACTAACCCCAGTGGTCAGGATAATACGTACAGGTACTGTATTTTTATTTATTTTTTTATTATTATTATTATTTTATTTTTTTTGGGGGGGAGGGGTCATTATTTATTGTTTTTACACATTTAGAACATTCGGCAGAAAATTTGGACAATCAGCTTTTCCAAACAGGTGGTCCCTCCTTTTAGTCAAGATCTTTGAGAGTTCACTGAGCCGAGATTTTCAACAAAATCCAATTTTGGGGTCAAAACCACTTTACGTCTTTGTATTTTTTTAGCAGAAATATATTTTTCTCAGCATTGGAATTTAAGGGGTTTAACTAATTAAGTACTTCCAGAAAAACACAAACCAAAATTGCACCTTGGAAACCCATAGTTGGGGTAGTAACTAACAAAGATAATTTCATTACAATTTTCCAAGCCTCATTACCACCACTAATTACCAGTGGGTAATGTATTTTCAGACTATTTTCTTATTCCCCTTTCCTTGGCCACCAAATTGTATAACTCTCCAGAACACGAAAGTTGAATTATTAAACAAAATTGGTTACAGAATTTGGACAAAATGATTACTATCTAAGAAATAAAGAAAACACCAGACCAACCAGTGACAAGAATGTTGTTGTTCCACTGCATACACGAGACTGCATCACAGTGAGCCTCTAACAGCAGACACACCTGCCCGTACTGCATACTGTACTTGTACCTGCACCGGGTCAAATCGATTTAGTACACAGAAATAAATTTTTGCTAACCTAAATCTTTAGTTTTTATATTTTTCACAAAAACTGAATTAAAAAAAAATTACAAAAGCAGCTTTTTTTTACCCCAAACTTTTCCATTAACCATAATATTACAGAAAAAAAATTATACCTCAGGCTATAGAAAAAAAGATCACAACTATTCAATAGAGTGCTCAGATAACTCGGTAAGGAACAAATATTACCGACTTACACATTGTTATCCCACGAGCCAACAACAACCGTGTCTGTCCCCGGCAGGTGAAGACAACACGACATTGCCATAGAGCTCAAACGGACACTCCTCGTCTGCCAGAACAATGGTTTGATTAACCTCATTTCTGTTGTACATGTATTAAGAGCAAAGTAATCAGGATATATAGCAGGGTGCTGAGGGAGGCCAAAACTAAGACCACCATACAAAATGTAGTTCAGCAAGAGGCACATCTTTATGGTGCCTCAGTGGTGGACTAATCTGATCTTTTAGTGAATCGATCACTGCCATTCTCAAATTTTTTAACAATGTACACTCACTAAAAGATTATTCTGCACCTTCACGGGGTTATACTATATGACACCGGACCAAGAAATCTGACAACGCTCATCATGGCTTCTGTCGCAGTGATCATTGGTTTCAGAACCAAGGGTGCAGAATAATTTTTTGAGAGACTACACTCTAGGACCTAAGTCATGGACAGAACCTACACTAGTGACCTCTGGCAATGTGAAGTATTGGTCGAGATTGTCTTCGCCCAAGGTTTCATATTCTTTTGGGGTCTTAATTAACTTTTTAGATTGGCTGTACAATACACTCAAACAAGTGTAAATTGCATCTTGCCACCAAAATATACTATCCGACTGATGGGATCTCCCAAGTGTAATAGATTTGCCGAAATCTTACAGGTAACTCACCGAGAGGAACGGGCTATAAAACTCTCCAATTAACTAATCCCTGTAACCTTCTAAAAAGTTTGCGCCACCATAAACCATTAACACCATAAAACCTCATACTTCTCTCTCCGTCCCTATCCAGTATTGCTCTCCTCCCATGCCAACATCAATCTGTTACAAAATGTAATAAAATTTGTCTAACCTGTTCTAACTTTGGCACAGTGAACACCTTTATCAGCGAGTCTTGAGCAACAGACATCATTTGCTGTCCATCAGAGGTGAAGGCGACACCCATGACAGCTTCACGGTGAACCTTACACTGCTGTACTTCTGCAAGATCCATCAGTCTTTGCCACAGGTTCTGGATATTGGAGTTAGGTCTTCTTGGGCGATTCTCTGTGCACAGAAAATTAATGGCGTGAGAAGGAACAAAAAATTTCATAGAACTCTTCATTTCATACAACTTAAGAGAAATCCATGCATAATGTACAGTACTGTAATATGAAATAATACAAGGTACCAATACGTGATAATCTGGAAATGGCAAATTACATCTGTCGTTTGAGAATGACTAGTCGACACTATTCAGCAATTTGGTTATTGTGCAGGAGCCCATTAAGAATGTATGCAAATTAACAGAACGTCTCATGTTTGAGGAAGTATGTCTGGAAGATATTGTTTGCCTTAATGGCAAGATATAGTACAGTATTGTGCACAAGTTTAAGCATTCAACAAGAGTAAACACAGTACAGTACAGAGAAATGTACAGTATAGTCCTCTAACATAGCCGAATATGCTTTGAAAGATTTCATAAAGAAAAGTTTAGAAACTTACAAAATTCAGCAAATTTGACGACTGTACTTAGCCAAAATTACTTGGTAAAGAAAATAAACTTTACATTTTCTTGCATATTACTGTTCAGAAATTATTACATGTTGCTAGGCAAGCTCTAGCAACATATGGACGAGGGGTTGTGAAAAAATCTAATAACCATATACAACACATGCACAATATGAACTAGGTAGACAAGAAAGTATTTCAAGAATGACTTGTTCTGGGGAGACAATTATACAAGTCATCACATCACTCAAAACTTGCTGTATAACATGTATGGGGAAGAGGCGCTCCAGTACTGTGGACACTTTCCAACTTGGCTCTGTCAGTGAACTATGTTGGAAAATAGAAATGCTTAGGTAAGATGCAAGTGATTCACCCCCAAAAATTAAATATAATGAATCCCACAGATGACTGGTATTTTTTAAAGTAAAAAAAAAAAAAAATAAAAAAAAATAAATTAGTGTAGGAAGAATTAAAATGCATTAATGTACCTCGCCAACAACAGCAAAAATTTAATATGTGATAAAATTAGAACAATACTTTACTAAGATAGAACTACGTACTAATCCTTGGATGATCAAAAGCTTTATAACCATCCTATGCACACTGTGAATACTGTCTTCTGTAGACTAAGTGTACACAATGAAATCAAATTCAGGATATCAAATGTGGAACGTTTTACTTGGTACCAAATTTTTATTACATTTAAACATTTACCAGCTAATGCACACACCTTGCTGATCAGGAATATGAACACTAACCTAAACACCACAAAACTCTGTAAAAGAGACTCGACAGTTCAATAGTCTTACTTACCAGACAAGTTTTATGTTTCATTAAGAATACAGAGCAGACCCAGGGTTAGGTAGACAGTGGATCACTCCAGATGCTGACAACAGTCAACTCCACACCACAACTGACCAGTGGGAGGGATACCTGTACCAACCTCTTATACCAGGCCAAAACTATCGGTTACCATTTCTCAAGTACCCAGCAAGTTTAGGTTATACATAGTGATAGGGAGGTCAGGTCAACTGGGATCAACCATGATGAATATACAGCCATTCTAATGTAACTGTACGTACCGGTATGAAAGCCTTTATTCTTATTAACAAAATAGTTATGTCTAAACTTGACAGGTCTTTCCTTCTCCAAATTCAGTAAAGAGGACAATACTAAAGTGGACACAACCTAATGCCCAAAAGCATCCCGAATAGGTTTGTACAGTATATATATATATTTTAAGGAGCTGAAAATCTAGACATACAGTTTATGAGATAATACAAACTCGACCGCCTCCAAAATACATACCATCACTCTCGGCACAATCCTCCCCTGAATCAAGTGCCCCTTCCAGCGTCTTATTGGACAGGTGAATCGAGTCATAAAGGCCATACGATCGCGACCTCTTAGGATGCGGCCTGGAAAACAACTGCTTCGGCACCTGTCCGAATTCTGTGATCTGAACTTCTAGAGCCAGTCTGTCGTTGAGGTCTGTAATAGCAGCCAGATCAACAGAGCCTTCGTAGCAGAGGTGATAAAACACTAAAAAGTAGAGAAAAAAGTACAATATAAGAAAAATTAATAACTTTGATAAAATAAATTACAATACCTACGATTCACAGAGAAAAATATAGAAGAAAACGAGTGAAGAATGGATATGAAAAAACAGAGGTTAACCCAAATGAAGTTACACAGGAAGCAAGTGTTAACAACTGACCTATCCGAGTGGATGCATCGGCAAATAAGAGCTATGGATAAATGAATCAATAGCAGAGGGAAAGATCTGTGCATTAGGAAAATATATGGAAAACAAAAACTTTTAAGAGAAAATTAGGATGTACAGTCGACAGTAAAAGTTTGTCCCGAATCCACCTACATGATAGAAGACAGGTGATCTGGTAACACTGTAGGACAAACATATGCTTTAAATAACTAGTTCTTTAATATTTATGATTGAAGGTTGCCCAAGAATACATTTCTTGTACAGTACACAGCTTAACTAGAATCAATGTGAGAAAATAATGTCAGAATTATATAACATTACTGAAGGACAATCCATAACTGAGGATCCAGACGAATATTCTTAGGCAATCTCCAATCATAATTAAATAACTAGCCACTTAAAGTATACAGCATCTGTCAATTTTTCCCCATACAGTGTTACCAGATCACCTGCCTCATATCATACAGGCAGATTCAGGACAAACTTCTGCGGTCTACTGTACATACAGAGTTGACATTACTAGACAAGTATGAAGCCCAAAATCTGGATACTTTTTTAAACTACAAGTGACAAACCTGTTTGAGAGCAATAGGTCAAGTGAACAGAAGGCAGAGATAAAGAGAAATTCATTTTTTTACTATTTATCTAGCAATAATTAAACTTTCCTTAAACAGGGACTGAACTACTGTAGTGGCCCAAGGAAACTAAAATCAACAAGGTGTACTGGAAAATTAACTCCATAATTTGTAGAACATGACAGGAGAGGTCATAAAAGGGAGTTCATAATAAGTCATTTTGACAATTACCAGAAGAACAGCAGTTAGGAAGTGGTTTCATCTCCATAACAAAACTTACAATTATCAGCTTTCTCTGCCTCCTCTCCATTTTGCTTAAAGCCAAATAGAAGATCAATCCAAAGGTGCAAGTTCATGGAGACATGTTCCGACTCAAGAGCTTCTCTCATCATCTTTATCACACTGCGAGGATCTGCAACAAATACTATTACGTACTACAGTTTCTATGGCGACTTAAAAAAAAAAAAAAAAAAAAAGTGGCAGCATGACCCAACAAATCATTGAAACTACCAGTGGCATTTTACCAAATTTGCTCAAATTCTAGATTATGTCAATTTGCTAGAGAGTACGGGGGGGGGGTCTCTGGGTTACGAACGGTTCCGTTCCTGAGGATGTTCTTAAGTCGGATTTGTACGCAAGTCGAAACACATGCCATGTGCATACCGTACTTACAGAATAATGTTTAAAATCCCACTACATCATAGCCTAAGTCCTCGTATACATAAAAAATCCCTTAATTCAAGACATGAGAAATCGAAAGACAAAACACAGTAAATTGAAGTAAAAAATAAGTCATCAGGTAAATAAAATACTGTAAATTTAAAGTTCAACCCCGTTCGTATCAGCGGGCATTTGTAAAACGGACGTTCGCAAGTCGGGGACCCCCCTGTACTGTATACATAGGAGGCGACAAGGGGCCAAGCACCATCCCTCAAAAAATTTAGTTATTGTATTATTTGTACTCTTTACATATGGGAATAAACACCTATAATAAAAAAGTTCAACAATCACCTTTAGCCCACGGTGGTAACTCCACATTGCCGATTGCTTTTCCATTCTGTCTCACACCAAAATTGATGCGTAGTGAATTAGTGAGGAAGTCTGCGGAGCCATCCAAATTGTAGAAGTCTGGTATAAGTTCTTTGAAGTCCGATGGATTTGTAGTGACATTGCACCAGGTTTCAGCAAGGCTACGTAAAAGAGATGTATTAGCCAGGGTAACGACCAACATTCCCTCGACACTTTGCAATATCAGATTTCTGTTTGTGGGCCATGTCGGTGGTTTACAGACAAATGCTTTTTTATATTATATGGCCAAAACATTTAAGGAGACGAGAGAAAATTCCTACTAACATGATAAAATCCCAATCCCCTTCCCTACAGAACCCTCAAAGCAGGTGACAATCACAGTGCTAAGTCTTTTAGGAGTTTAATTCACAACTGGATGTAATGTATATCAACTTTACAAGAGTCACAGCAATGAAATTCAAACTTCCTATTTGAGTGGGTGGCAAAACCCCTGTACTACCAGACAGTACAAAAATTCACGAACCCGAGTTTCCTCATCTCTAATGAATAATTTTCCTCGAGAGAATTATGCCACATTTGTTCCAGAGCTCACCTGTTGAACATTCTATCAGGATGATCAAAGCGACCATTCTGCAGACAGAGCATATACTGTGGGTACTGCCGCACCAGGTAGAACAACACGAACCCCGGTGTAGAGTAGTGCGACCCAAACAAGAATCTTGGTTCAGGCATGTCTTTGCAACGTTCCTGTAGAATATGGCCCAATTAAGAGTCGACCCTATATTCAGAACAAGAACCAAGGAACTTCATATTACTATATTAATAGAAGCAAAACCTGATTATTACCCAGACAATGAGCACCTGTATTAGTGGGTCTGGAGTTGATCAAGTAATTTGTATAGATTATTCCATTACATAAATTTGGTCTGGGTTATAGTTACGAATTAATTGGTAAAGTAATAGATACTTCTAAGACCAGAGAATAAAGGCTTAGCAAGGATACAGTGAACCAAGGCAGGTACAGTACACGACCCATCCTCCTGGAAGGGTGGGACCCAAGTGTGTACAGGACATGAATGATTTTACTTTACGAGTGATATCTGATGGTGGATGGTTCAGGGTGGCTTTATGGATCAAAACTCACCATATACTGTATTACAGCACCAAACTTGATGGCTTATGATCAAATCCAGCTTACATAGCATCAACTTAGCCTGCAGCAATACTTTTAAGGTATAAGCAACTTGCCTTTAATCTTCTTAGTCTATCTTCATTGAGAGCACCAATGGGTTTTGACAGGTCACGATATATTTCAGGATCAGTCAGGTCCAGTGACTCGCTCACATAGTCCGCCAGCACCCAGGGAAACACCGGATACTGCGTTAAATCATTTTCACTTCTATCGGCCTGACTGTAGAAGAAACATTTTATGGTAAAGGATACTAATATCAAGACAATAATACATGCTTATCTATAAAGCTAACATACAGTAGAACATCTGTTGGTCAAAAAGCTCACAAGTAACCTGTTAAGATAGCAGAGGTAGTCATAGTTTGATATTGCTCCTGCCTGCCACTGGTAACTCATGTTGTCTTGCCGCATGTCGTCCATACATACTCTTTCCTGCTTAGTTATCTGCTCGTACAGATTGTCCCTCTCCTGAGATTCCTGTAGGCGACAAAGTCATCGTTGAGCAATAGCCCTATAATATACTGTGCTGTACTACCCCAGGAGTGTAATCTACTTCCAGTTACAACAGACTACAGTAATGATCACAACAGTACTGTACACTTAATATATGGGAGGTAGCAGTATGATTAAAAACAATTCTGGAATTAATCAAGTACAATTATTCCCATTTCAACATCTTTACACTACTATTGTAACCTAAGCTATTCCCCTTGTACCAAGTCACACAAAATCTTCATATAAACTACTGTGAACCAACTTAACCTACATCCTATAAAATGGTAACAGACCTTTTAGCCCATATCATGACAGGTTTTAAGGATTAATACAATTTTCTTTACTTCCACCAAATACATCCCAAAACTCTTAACAAGAAGGTGGAAGTAATAGTCACTACGATGACTAGTCTCACTAGCACAGGGTAACCTGCGTAAAGGCACTGTACTAGTGTATAAGGTTTAAGTACAGTATATACTACCGAGGTGTTGACTTACCTTAAATGTCAACAGCAAATGCTTCACCATGCACTGGTCTCTGCAGAATACCTCTAGGCCCTAGAATAGAAAACATTAAAAACAACCGATTGTGGAAGAATCCAAACCTACAAATATTTATTCTTTAATGACAAAATTCACTGTATACAATCAAAGACAAAAGTCGTGTCGCGGTTTTGTCCAAAGATTAAATATAACTCGTGAAACATTATGAGAGCCCCACCACAAGGCAGAGCACCAAAAGTTTAGCCCTTCAGCATATGTTTTCACCAAATTTCACAACACGACTTTTGTCTTTCATTGTACACAGGTAATAGAAAGCCAATGTGTAAAATAAAAAATCAGTTACGAATTTATAAAACTGCAAAGCTAGTTCTGGGAAAGAAATCCTAAATATCAGATCTAAAGAAAATTACACTGGTTAGCACCATCAGTCAGGTACAGTATACGGAATGTTTGCTATACAGTATTTTAAAAAACATCCAAAACAAAGAATAGATACAGATGAAAAGTTAATGGATGAACCGAATGATGTTACCATAAAAACCAGTTTCACAATTTTCAAGGTTTCTAAAAATGGGAAATTCTTGATTACCAAATAATTCACAGTATTCTGGGATAGGATGGAGTGGGGAATGAAATCCTGTGTTCTCAATAACTAACGAAATGGAGGACAAGTTACTACTAAAGAGCAAGATTCCAGTATCTTTACCTTCAATCCTTTCTCTTGTGATCATCAACTTCAACCCACAACAACTCACCACTTGTCGAAGAAGATAGCGTCTTTTGATGACTTGTCGAATATCCCCAAGACCGATTCTTATCACAGGATACTGTTGGGTAAAAATTAATCAAATGACCACCAACTGCCTCCATGTCAACTTTCATAATTTTTTCAGTCCTACATACCAGCGTGGTTTGCCTCAAGAAAACTGCAAATAATTGTCCCACTTATGTATTCCGCTGAAAGGCTGCAGTTTTTAATCAAAGACAACCAAACATTACTTGCGAGAGAGTGAAAAAGTAAAGCAGCCGAACTATGTACACTTTAATTTGGTTTTATTTACAATAAACATAAAAGACTAAGTATATTCCACTTGAAGACTGAGAACACCAACAAATGACTATTAATGAATTTAGATTTGTATATACATGTCTGCACACTGAAAGGGCTGCTACCTGAACATCTCTATTGATACACATGGCGTTACTTTTAACAGACGTAGCCGATACCGTATGGTTTAAATCTACATAAATCTTTGGCAACACATATAAACTATACGAGTGAAGTAGCTAGATACACAGTACATTTATTACATTAAACTTCATTAAAATCTACCCATGAATTCAGAGATCTATAGTCTGTTCACTTGAAAATTGTCAAGGAATTCCTGCATTTTTAAAAGAACACAAACATGATGAACAAATTCCAAGATGTATACTCCACCTCATCACGTGACGTCACACAGTGTGGCAAGAGAATATTGCTGAAAATTTGTAATCTTGTTCTCTTCCAAATATTTATGTTATCAGAGCATTTCAAAAGCTAATTTTTATTTCCAAGAGCAGAAGTCATCAGAGATCAACAATGAATAGTTATTATCCCCTAAAATATAATATAAATAGAATAGACTAAATACCAAAGACCTGTAATGTCTTTTCACGCATTCGTCTGCCAGCCAATCCACTGCCTTGCTACAAACTGATCCTAGGCCGATTCAAATACTGTACAAAGAAGAACCTATTTAAACTTTGGCCAGATAAAAAAATTAAATTTTCACTATTTTAGACACCAAGCTGCTCTGTGCTTAACAAACCTTCTCCACATTATTGTGAGGCTGGAAGTAGAGCATGGATGTGGTGAGGAGTATAGTGCCGGGGTTGGTCACCAAAGGGGTGACTTTATTGGCCTTGGTCTCGTAAATCTCTGCTTCAGAGAGGTCTCCCAGCAGTGCCCGATCAAACTTTCGTCTGCTCTGTCTCGATCTAACTATTGCTTGAATCTGGAATGAAGAATAATTATACAGCACCTGGAACATGAACTTTGCCTCACCCAAAAGAATCAAGTTGTACCACCAAGTTAAAATTTTGATGAACAATCCCTAACCTATCCTAATCATTCGGTATTATAACCTTCAACAAACATGGGATAAGTATAAGTCATCATGACAAGAGAAAAACAAAATTCTACAAGCATGGAACAAACCATTATATTTTGATCATTAGGGGGCAGTGTTGAAGCTCTCTGCAGTTGGCAAATTTGTGGCAGTACTGTCGAGACATCTGCATATATCAACTGGAACATGTGTTTGTGCTTCTCCTGCAATGTATAACTTTATTGAATTAACTTTGTGATCTACCTAAGCTACAGATGAAAATATATCAAGCACACTATCAAGTTTTGCGGACGACACAAAGATATTTGGGAAGGTAGCAAGTCAAGACAATGTCGCAATAATGCAGAAAGACCGACACAAACTGTTCAAATGGTCCGAGACCGGAAAAGGCTCTTTAACAAATGAAATCGAACACCCTACATGTAGGATACAACAACCCTAATCACAACTATTCTAATAACACTTCTAGATACTGTCAATAAGGAGAAATATCTTGGCATTGTGACAGATTCACTGAAGGGAGTGCAACAGGTGGGGGGCAGCAGGAATGAAAGCAAACAGATTTGGGAATTATAAAGCATACATTTAAATACAAAGATCGAAAATGCTCCAACTGTACAGTAGCTAAGACAACTAACTGTGCAGGTGGAGGTTGATATGCTCAGAAATTTTACTTGCGACTACCTGGTAGTGACAGACCTCGTATACCAAAATTTATCATCCATGGTCTCATATTGCTTCTCACAAAGTATGCACAGACAGTTGTTTTAGCTACTGTACAAATCAGAAGTAGGTCCCAGTCTGGATTACTGTATACAGGCATGTAAACCCTACCACCATAAAGATCCAACATAAGGTAGGATACAGAGCGACTATGACGATTCTAGAACTAGGTAGTCTCAATTATCCAAGGAGACGGAAGGCCTTTGGTCTACCAGCCCAAGCTGTCAAATGAAGAACAGTTCAGTACGGTGTTTCAAAATAGCCCTTAGCAAAATTATCTAGAACAATGGAGGGATCCTATACAGACCAATGGCCTCATTCCTTTAGCATCGCCATCATCTTGGGTGGGTGGCCATTAGGCAATTAAATTAGGTAAAGGTAAAAAAAACCATTTAGGCTAAACAAGTATCTACATGCAACCAATTTGAGCAAGCATAGAGTTGGCTGGTGCAGCCAAAATATTTAAGCGGTCATACAATCCTTCATGTTCAGAAAATGTGAATAGTTTTCTTGCAACACTAGAAACTAATGCCCACACAGATGAACTTACCCTGCAGAACTTGTAAGGCTGTAATACTCCACCTTCCAGCATCTCCACAGTCATACTGCATGTTACTTCAATGACAATTTGTTCATCCTCACTGCAACAAAGTCTCAAATTAAACATTAGAGACCAACAAGTATTTAAAGTCACCTGCTAACACAAAGTATAAAAGCAACGAGACATTACACGATTCTTTCCAATACTGTACATCCAGCAACGACCCAGAAGTACAGCTACAATAATTATCTAAACTAAGAGATAAAGTTAAACAATTTACCAATGTACCGTTTATGAAGTCGCCTAAATTATTGAATCTTCATTTTATTGCATGTAATAATAATGGTCCAGCACGATGGCAAGGAATAATTACTTCAAGCAACATACAGAAAGTAAATTTTAAGAAGAAAGCCAAAAGGAGCACCTTGGGTGTTATTATAATTATGAAAGACTGCATTATGCAACACTTCAGGGGGAAAAGCCTGGCATAAAATATGATCGGGAACAGTTTGCACCGAGCTTGCAAAATAAAATCTTCGAGGTACAGTACCTAAAGAACAGCTGTTTAGTCTGTGTAGTCGTGCCTTCGTCGATGGCCTCAAATGTACGGAAAGGAAACTTAATGATGGGAGCACGTGGGTCTTTGGGATCAAACACCAGTGACTTTGAACACACCTGGGAAAAGAAGGAAAGAAAATGGATTTTAAACAAAGTTATTAAAGGGAAAAGAAACACCCAGGAAGAAGCAAGGTGGTGCTAAAAAAAAAAAAAAAAAAAAAAAGGCATCAGTGTCATTGATCCCAGTGTGAATATTATACTTCACATGGGGGTTACCCTTTATATAGTTTCAGAAATATTACTTAAGCTCCCCAATTACCAACCCAGATCTGATGAACAATAGCAAGATAAATTAAAATGTCGGAAACCTATTTAACCCTTTGCGTATGCGATTCCCTCCGAGCTGTCAAAATATTAAATGTGGCGTCTCCGTAGTGAAGGGGTTAATCTACTAGAAGAAAAGCTCTCAAACGATTCAGCATTATTGTACTGTACATAATTTCAGTCATCAGATTTCACTGGAAAAAGCATTTAGGTGTTGGTTACTTGGGATACAAGGTCTTGCTATCACAACCACCGCCCTTTAACAATGTGACCCGAGAATCCACTTGTACAGAACAGAGTTGACAGACATTGGCTTAACAAAATACAAAACTTTTTCGGTAAATAAAAAGAAAAGTGGAAAAGATCTCTCACCTTCAGTCTGCCTCTCAATAGACCATCTTCAAATTTCTCTTCCCAGCCATCCTTGTTGACACTGTCATTTGGAAGAACATAAATTGCAGCAAAATCCTCAAAATAAATCTCCCCAGGCTCCAGCAACAGTAGTGAGAATCTGCAATGACAAGAAATTGATAAATACTGTACAGTATATCAACATTGGAGAAAGTACAGTACAGTGCTTTGAATACCTGTACAAGGAAGTACAGTACTGTATAATGTAATTTACTTAAAATTACACCTGTTCAAAATAGCCTTCAGGGAGAGCTTCTAAAGTGACCACAGCCTAATTTCCATTTCCCAAGTAGAAAACTGTAGAGAAAACTTCTTCACTGGATTTTCACTCCTAGTATTATACAATACAGTACTGTACAGTTTATGTTTTAGTGAACAATTATACAATACAGTACTGTACAGTATTATGTTTTAGTGAACAATTATACAATACAGTACTGTACAGTTTATGTTTTAGTGAACAATTATACAATATAGTACTGTACAGTATTATGTTTTAGTGAACAATTATACAATACAGTACTGTACAGTATTATGTTTTAGTGAACAATTATACAATACAGTACTGTACAGTTTATGTTTTAGTGAACAATTATACAATACAGTACTGTACAGTATTATGTTTTAGTGAACAAAGATAAACAAAAATCTGAAATTTGCTTTACAGATTTATCCAAGCTGAAGCCAAAATAGTGTAGGTTAGGTTGGGTTAAGGTTTTAGGTTACAATAAAAATATTAAATCTGAAAAACTACTGTAAAGCAATAAATTTCTGATGTCCGCTGTGAGAAAGAAGGGAACGCTAAACCCGAGAATGTGATACTGTATATATACAGGGTATACTGTAGTATTATCTTCAATAAATTACTACAGAAACGGGTGGATAACTTTATTGCTTAGTTAATACTAAGAAGTAAATAAAAGTTCCAATTGAAAAATCAGATTGTTTTTCCTTTTATAATTAAAATATAAATGTATTCACACATTTAATTCCTTGGTTCTTGAAAGGTGAAACGAGGAAGGTTGCACTTTATCTAGCAAGCAGGTGTGATTCACCTTTGAATAACAATATAGTCCTCTGTTTGGGAACTACTGCATTAAGTTAATAAATACAGTATCCTAAACCTTCAAGGTCGTAGCTTTAGTTTAACAAATGACTTTAAAAATTAACATCGACCAATATCATACAGTACTGTACTAGGATTTCTGAATGTGGTGTACTTACAAAAAAAAAGGGGTGGGGGCTGTAACTCCCTTTGTTACGGTTCTGGCCGGAATATTTTAAAAGTTACGGCAAGTTTTGTTTCCGGCCGGAACTTGATAACTAAAATTCAAACTTTGAAACCCTGCAAAAGAATTCCAAAGGATCTTTATAAGTATACAGTATAATCAACAACTACAGTACTCCCTCAAGAGTTTATTAAAATAACATGGCCCTTCACGGAAAGATAAAAATCGAGGTCTGCCCTTATTTTATACCTTGGTAAAAGTATACAGTACAATATAATTATCATTTAGATGAAAAACAAGTCTTACCCCCTCAACATACTGTACTTCTAAAACACTTTTCAGATAAAGTCTTCCTTCCTGGTAATACTCTACAGTCAGGTGATAGAGTCATTGGTGATGAAATTAGAACAAGCAAACAGTACTGTAATTATCTCTTTTACAACACATACTTTACTATACATATACAGTACAATTAAGCTTATAATTTCTCAAAACACCCAGTAAGTATAATCATTTGATGAATTAAGTACAATATAGAAGAATTTAGAATTAAGTTTAAGTTGTAGCAAAACCAGACCCATTATTTTGACTTTACTTCTATGAATCAACATGTGTGCATTTCAGTGAACACAAAACTATCACTTGAAATTTCAAGATTTTAGCAGAAATGAACCACAGAATCTCCAAATTTTAGCATGCTGCTCAATGGTCCATGCCAGCCAACATCTGACAGTCGAAGTAATGGCAGTCACCCGACTGAACCACTGCAGGTATAGAGGCTATGAACGAATTGTTATTTCACAAGAGTATATTCAATGTACAATATTGTATTAGGAGGATCACTAGTTATTCTAGGTTATATTGTATTCTGATGGGATCTACGCATAGAAATCCAGTGAGAATTAAAATAAAAGTCAACCTCTTGGACACTATACAGAATACGAACGACCCTTTAATGGAGCCAAATCATTAACGGCAGCCGACATGAACTAAAATAAATTACTCTACTTTCTGAACTTCAAGATCATTAGGTTTGGATTGGTCGGTCAATGCCCTCTACCATCACTCAGGCGTTAACCCGAGAGAGACCGAGGGATTATCACTTGACTTGACACATCATAGTCGGTGTGGAAAAAAAAAAAAACTTGACTCCTAAAGTTGTTTTTTTTTCTTCCTTTGCCACTAGATGATTATGGAAATTAATAAATGCCTAATATACAAATAATCTCCACAGCACACATCTGTACCTCCAATATTTTTTTAGAGAACAATATAAAGTTTTAGATCATTATACTAAACCATTATGCAAGTTTGATAAATCTGTAGTAAAGAATTCTGTAATTTCACCTGTTATGGGCAGGTAAGTTCACTACAGGTATACAGGTAAAACAGGTAAAGCCGAAAGTCAAAACTCATTAAAAATAAAGAAATTGAGTGGGTTACATTTAACAAACGATACAAATGCATATAACTACACTGTAATATTAATACTAGATACCTGGTCCAGTGTGAGGTAACCTATTCCAAGATCAGTGATCAATGAAATATCAACACCTTTCATATACATAAGTAACATCTATTCTACCTAACGCCATAAGAACACTTTAAATACCTCTGTACTTTAATAAACTCAACGTAAACATCTGTAACGTAATTTAACTCCTGTAACCAATGTACCACAAGTCCTTCACAATTACCTGTATCCATACGTGTCACCTGTGTCATATTTTCACTATACTTACCGATCTAATCCATCCATATTGAGTACAAGACGCTCAGAAATCTAACATTATTGGCTAAAAAACACAATGCCAATGCCCTGAGGTGTTACTTGGAGGATAAAATAAGGTGATCTTGGTCCTCCTCCCAACACTGCTTGCAACAGCTGATTGTCATAACCTCCTCCTCTCCTACCAGCAAAGTTAACTTCCTCTTAATATTTTGTTTAATATGTCACTACTATTACTCTATTTAAAACTAAATGCTTTATAAATACATTAAATTTTAAGTATTTTAGTCGTAAATATTATATAAAAAAAGATTTCCAGGAGATATAGGAAAGATACTTTTAGAAACGCATTAGGACGGTTAGCGAGAGGAACCGCCTTGTGTATGGTGAGTTTTTTCTTTAATATGAAGGGTATATGTACAGTTAACATAATATATTCTTATTTTTAAAACATCACATATGTCTAGAAAATGTTCAGTTAGTTCTGAATGCTTAAAACTAATTAAAATGCGCGTTTCCCACAAAAATATTGCTTTAACTCACTTATAAATAGACCATTTCCGTTGTGATAAATTTATTAGATTTAACAATGTTTAGTTTAACTCAGATTATAGTTATATTTTCTTTGTAGGCAATTCTATATAAATACATTTATATGGTGTTAAACCAATTATTTTGGCGATTGTATGTTTGAGTGGTAATATCGCATATTTCAGATTTTGCGGCTCGACAGTGTGAGTGAAATCAAACTGGAGTACAATTCAATGTCTAGTGGATAAGACTTTCATGACCGCACATGTGGTGATTAATGAAATCGTCATCTGTACCTGAATGGGGTACGCGAGTATTGGGCCTGTTGTTTGTTTGAATTGATATGCCTGACGTTGTCTCCTCCTAAATGTTTGCGATGACGCCAAGTTATTTCGGAAATTAGAACCAAGCGACTGTGAAGGCTGCGAGGACCTCTGTGGGCTCAGGAATGGTCGAAGGAATGGCTGCTGAGATTCAATGTCACGATGTGGATGCACCTGGGGCGTACCACGTAGCGTCCATATGTCCCAACGGATGAAAATGTATAGTTAGACTGTGTGAGAGGACTGGTGTGTATGTGACAATGAGCTGACTCGGCCATTGTGAGAAGGTAAATCAGGCAAATAAATTATTGGGTCTTATGAAGGTCGTTCAGATATCTAGACGGTCCGTCCTCGTGACGATCTTCAGGGTATGCTTCCATCTGGTCTGTCACCATCTGGTCCCAGATATGGATGTCGTTGGTTGAAATGTTCAAGGAGCCAAGCTGGTGCCTGCTTCGATCTAGCTACCTGGTTGGGCGCCTGAACGCCTGCATACACAGACGGGCAGGGGACCTAGTTGGGTTATAAGCATCAGGGCACTACTCAGTTGGTGTCTACTTGAGCTGGGGACGCTCGCCCGGGTCACAGCTCAGATTGAAGCCCAAGTCCGGAAAACCGTGGGGCAAACTTTTCGGGTGAGGTTGTAAACTCTGGAACATCTACAGAAAGTGTTGTGACGGCACGAGTGTGCTCTTTAGAAGACTTGCCAACACTGGGCGGTTCAGGTACATTCAGGCGGTGCATGCAGTTTGCCAACAGTGGTACAGGTACCGATCGCGGGCGCTGGCGACGGCGAAGAATATAAGGTGTGACCGATCGCCCAAGCGGCTAACAAGCCGATCAGTGGCGAAGAGGATAAAAGTAAAAGTAAAGTAATTAATTTTGCATATTTGTACGCTGTGTGTAAGTACGTTGTGTGAGTGTGTAATGTGTATATGTGAGTATTGTATGCAGAGAGGTAGAAGATACTGTAAAGAAGATGTTTGAGGAAATACCTTAAAATCTTAGAAACAAAAATTAAGGAAACGTGCTCATCATTCCTTCTTTCCGGCGACAACAAAGACCAAGCTGATGAAAGTGTGTGTGTGTGATGGCGTCAATCATCCTAGATAACAGTTATCAACATGTGAGCCAGAATGTCACAACACGGCTGACCTCCACACAAGGGCGATTAAAATCTAAACGATATCTACATAATGCCTCACCACTTATGACACACCTTCATATCCGACCAATTTGTTATTGTTAACCTGAACTGTGATGTGAATCTACCATCTATCAGTATTTATCTATATCTATCTATCTACTTGTTGTGTACATCTCTTAAGTGAGAGAATATTTCCAGTCAAACTCTTACCGTATTTTCACAGCATGGCAGATATTTATTTTAAGGAAAAGTTGTTATAATACTTCTAATTCTGTGACATAAGTTAAATCATAAGTCTAGCATCAAAATTACACTGGGACTGGCAGTCTACCTTAACTAGGTTCGTTTACTGAGAATTTTATTTAGGTACAAAATTCATGTAAGGTACTGTATATTTCTTCAGGGACATAAAGTATAAAGTACAGGGTGTAGGTACAGTATAGTCAGTGAAACAGATGCATATCCGTAGATAATTATTCTTGTTCGTAAAGTCAGTAGACTTTATCGTGTACGTTTGTAAGGTTGGTTCATAACTTAACAAAATAAAGATAGGGAAATTTTATTAGAGAACAAAGCCAGAGGTAGAATTACAAAACTTAATGACATAACCTTTGTTTTTTACCTAAAATGTAACGTAAACAAACATTGATGCAATATAAAAGACTATAAATAATCTTCAATAAGACTAATATTTATATGGATCTTGGTGGATACACTGCCACTTTGCATTGACGTCCAAAGACTATAATAAGCATAAGTAAACTATATGAGATTTTCACTCTTATGTGTGTTAAGAGAGCACAAGACAGGGGAGGTCAGGCTGGGTGGGTCGTCTTCCTCGGTCAGTGTTGGTAGGCGAGGGTTTGGGTGTCCGTGAAGGTTGGAACTGATCTGCGCCACCGTGACCCCCTGGGAGTCTTGACCATCCAGCCAGGTCAGATCAGGACAGTTCAACCCGTATTGCGTGGTAGCTTCCTCCTGCAGCGTGGCCAGATGAGCGTTAAGGGTGAGGTGGACGGGACGAGGTAGAGTGTGGGCGGTGTCCAGGGCGGTAGTGAGGGTGGTGCCTGATGGCTGTGTTGTGGCGGCCACCCGCTGTGGTGCCACACGCTGTGGGAGAAATAGTACATCACACACACACACTGTGGAAGACATGACTGTGGCGGATTTAGGGATAGTTCATTCGAATCTACATTTTGATCGGACCTTCTCATTCACAACACTTTTTTTCGAACCTTCGCGCTCCCGCACCAAATCAGTCACGTGAGCTGATGCTGGAAATTTAAATGGCGCGATTTGTTACTCGTTTTGCGGATGTTTATGCTCTTTTTGTCAAGTTTGTAATAAATTTAACCTTTATCCGTATGTTTAAAGGGACGAAGGGAGGGTTACATCTGGAAAAAAAACAGAGGTACAGTAAAAAGCGGCATCCAAACCCCCCAGCCGCAGCCGCTTCACCACGACTTTATAACGTTATATTTTTTTATCCTCTTCGCCACAGATCGACTTGCCACTTGGGCGGTCGATCACGTCTCTGTTACGCACTATGGACAAGTACTGGCTGAAGTCTCGTCTTGAATTGGCTCACACTGACTGTATAAAAGGGCTTTTGTGATTCAAAAAGACGTGTTTATGACGGTAAAGAGCTTATAGTGTACTGTACATGGACTCATTGGTTGCATTTTCATTCTGAGAGAACTAAATGGTTTGCTAACAGGAGACAGTATAGTTCCTAGGGGCTGTAGTGTAGGTGTTCTTTACCATATAGAGGCTGTAATGGTGTTGTTTACCATATAGGGGGTTGTTTACCATATGGGGGAGTTGTTTATCATATAGAGGGAGTTGTTTATCATATAGGGGTGTAGTGTAGGTGTTGTTTATGTTATAGGGGGTGTTGTTTACCATATATGGGGGTTGTTTACCATATAGGGGGTGTTGTTTACCATATGGGGGCTGTTTACGTACCTTGTTAGGAGTAGAGATTCCTCGGAGTGCCCAGGCCAAGGGTGCTGGGAGGTGGTGACGGCAGGACTGGTGGACGAGGGAGTAGAGGAAGGGGTTGAAAGCGGGGGCACACAGGGTAAGGGTGTGAAGACTGTAGTGGGCGTAGCTGAAGGCGAGGCGGCTGGAGGCTTGGTGGGAGCCCGTTGGTTGGGGCAGTAGCAGCAACACCCACGCCGGGAGCCGACACACTACGAATATTACCATGATGGCCGTCACTGTCACCATCACCTGTAATATACCATTCCTCATTAGTACCTCCATCAACACCTGTTACACACTTACACACACACACACACACACACACACACACACACACACACACACACACACACACACAATCTTAGCTCTTAACATAGAGATACAATTGTACAGATCAGTGAACCTTTCATTAGATCTATTTGGTCTTCACATAGTGCCTCCTAATGCGGCCAACGGTGTGTCCCTCACCTAGTGCGGCTCACGGTGGGTTAGTGTCTCACCTTGTGGGTCCTGGCGAGCTGCCTGGTGTGGCCGTGACTCAGAGTGGGTTGGCCGCGTAGGAAGTGGATCACGATGGTGTAACAGGCGCAGAAGGTGAAGAGGAGAGGCAAGAAGGTGATGCAGACCAGCGCCACCTGGTAGCGGTGGATCGACGCCTCCTCGCTCCAGCAGAAGTAATCCGGGCACGTCAGTGTCATCGTCAGGTTGCCGTTCATAGAGTAACCCAAATACGGCCCTCCCAGTCCGTAGTACACCACGTACGGTGCACTCACACCTGCAACACAACCACATACACTATGGGTTTTTCACACCTGTGTACACGGAATAAGTACACTAAGGGTGTTCATACCTGTAAGAGGACCCCGTGTTATAAGCTCACACCTATAACATAGCCACGCACAACACGGACATTCTAACCGTAACACGCATGATAAATACACCTTAGGTAATGAGAGAGAGAGAGACGTACCGCAGGAGAGGGGGAACACTATGCTGACGAAGGCTATGGCGTGAGAGAGGCGCCACTCAGGCCAAGGTGTGTGGCGGTGAGCGAGTACGATGGTCAGATAGCGGTCAACAGCGATGGCGATGAGCGTCGTACTGTTGACCAGCACAGCTACGGCCTGTAGGAAGGCTGCCACCTTGCATGTGCCTCGCCCCAGGACCTGTAATGGCAGGCTGGGTGTTAGTGAGATCTAAGAGAGAGAGAGAGACGGTGAGCTTTATGTGCAGAGGATGATATATAAACAATGACACATAAACATAGAGGCAGTCAGTCACACGTACCCACACAAAGTCGTCGTGCCAGAGGTGTGGAAGGTCAAAGGTCACTAAACTGATGACGGTCAGGAGGTCACTCATCACCAGTGACCCCAGCAAACAGCTCAGCCTAATGTTTTGTTTCCTGTACACGAGATAATAACAATAATAAAACGAACAACAACAAAAACAATAATAATAACAACAAACTCACCTGCCCTCCGCCACACTCACCTGCCCTCCGCCACACTCACCTGAGATGGTTGAGGATAAGTAAGGTGGCGGTGTTGCCGAGGAGAGCCAAGACGACCAGGAGACAGTCCAGAGAAGAGATTAACACCTTGAACCACGTCTTAAGAACACCTGGCTTGTATACCGCGCCAGCGTTCACTCTAAACGCCCACGCCATACACTGCACGCCCGCGGGAGTGATGGGGAGGGTGTTAGAATGGTTCATATAGATACACTCTAGTAAATACCCATACACAGATCCAAACATAAATACACACTTTCAAGAATGTCGACTCGTGCTTGGATGCTTTACCTTTAACCTCAGTTGTAGGAAAGAAAATAATAAAAGGCACGAAGACCAGGAACACACACACACACACACACACACACACACAAGAGATATTTACCTCCATGTCACTGTCGGTAAAGCTGTGCTGCTTCTCTCCATCTTGATACTCTGCCAGGGGTGTGTTGATGCTACCTTGGCCGCCATGTTGGTCTTCTAATAGCAGTGACCACCACTGCTGAAGCCCAAACGCTCCATACATGAGGATCGTCAGCTTAATAATGGTTACATGTTATATTTCGGTGCATAATATCAAGTATATGCCATTAGGACATCCATGGAGGTGATATTCGGTGAGGAGGTCAGACGTACACTGAGGAGTTGTCGGGCTTGAAGACCCATCGTAAGTATTGCTGCTCTCCTATTGGTGAACGGAATACTGTGACACTCGTCTGTGATTGGTTGTCTTGTGTATGAGTCTGGCATGGTTCGGATCAACACTTTTGATCGTTGATTAAAATTTATCGAAGGCGATAAGAGTGAGCGATCAAGAAAGAAAAGTCAAAGTTTCCTTTCTAATCACTGGAGTACTATTGTATTTCCTTAAATTTGATTTATTTCACTAATGAAATTTAGATGATATACACCTTGTAAATACTTATAGAATCCACCTTAAATATATTTCTTCGGGAAAAAGTGGGATCACAGTTTCCCTGATGAGCAAATATTGTCACCGCCGTCAATATTATAACATGACGTCACAGCTCCAGACAGTGTTGACACGGCTGTTGAGGAAGCATCAGCCGCAGACTTATATTACTGATAATAAAATTACCGCCACTTTACCGCCAAAACACAACACTTATCACCCTACAAATTTCCGCTCTACTACGAACTTGATTAATACTTCAAAAGAGGAGATTAATATATTACAATAACTCAAGAATAAGGTCTCCCCTCCCGTCTTGGACACGTTCAAAGGTGAATGGCCTCCCCTGAGTTCCTGCCTGGTCTTCCTTACAGGGTCCGAGAATGTAATGCAGGCCAAAGGAAGCCTCGTTAGTCCCCGGATCATACCAGGTCTCCACAACAGTTTTATACATACCAGTTTATTCAGAGAAGTATCCTTTATGGGATATATTTGACCGGTAAAACACAACTCTTTAAATTCTAGACTATATATATACTAAATTTACAATAAAGTACAACAGTGCGCCTTTACTACAGAACCGTATATTCCAACAATTTACGAGTTTGTACAGTGTATGAGATGAAACTGCTGTGTTTTGTACTATTAACTAGCTATATCCCAGACAATATGGGCACAGCAGGTTTACTATCATTGAGTGACAGCAAAAGTAACTGGTATGCTTTGTTCATCACGATTTGTTTGCCATAGAAGGAGAAGCAGTCACACCATTGGCTGATGAATGTCATAGTCCTGCTGGTGCTGACTTAGCACAAGACAGCTGCCACAAGTGTTGCTGAAACAGACAGACCCGACCGATCTGTAAAACTACCTTGGCGATGCGAGACAAGGATTCTTTCTACACACTCTTACAAAAGGTGACGTATTTTTCACCACCATGCAGCACGTAATAATTAAAACTGACGAGCTAATTGTGACCAAAATTGTTGATCTTATGTTTTTAATAGAACTTATTTTGATCATCCCTTAATCCTATATAATGCCATTTTAGAGGATTCCAGCACCATGCCTTAAACATGCATCCTCCACTTGAATTACTAATACAGTAATGTTATTACTGTGTAGTATATAAATTGTGTGCAGAGATTATCTATGCCCCATTAACCATGGCCACACACGGAGAGGATATTATTCTCTTAAAGTGATCAGTAAATTAAAAATTAATTAAATGTAGCGTATCAAAAAATATATACACATTACCTGTTGATAGTGTGAATTGTGTAAAAACAGCAACCTTGTCCTAATGGTGTACGACCCACATCAAGTGAGGTGAGGACAATGTTATGGTAACCCATTCATTCACATGAGTGCCATGAAAATCTGTAGAGCAATGTGTACATGTATACATTTTTGGCACACCCTGTATATTATAATAGCATATCAAAAACAAATGCAAAGGAGAATGAAAATAAAACTCATAACTGTGGTTTGGTTAAATATATTCGTGAAACTTTATCATATACATATAAGCTTTGGTCTTTCAGTAACACAGGCTGGTCCAGTAACAAGTTTACACTAGTGCTCCTTTTTTATACAATGTAAACGTCTTTTAATTAAGCATAATACAAATATCACTATGGAATTTATGTCTCTTCATTTATAAATATATCAAATTATAATTACACACAAAAGTCTCTTATTTTATAATATATTAATAAGATAAAAATATGTAAGGCAGTGAAGTTGTCCACCCAATATCTTCTATGACCAGCATCAAAGCCTTGTCCAGATATTTGTGACAAAATAAAGGATCACCTCAAGATTAGACACCACAACTTATTTCACAGGAATATTAACCATCCTAATGATACTTGGAGGGGAGGATTAGGCTATATTAGGTAAAATTAGGCTAGGTTATGTTAAATTAGGTTAGGTTAAGTTATGCAAATTTATGTTAGGTTAATTTAGGTTATCATTAGGGTGGCTAATCCTCAGGTGATCCAAAATAAATATAAAATACAGCATCTCATCTATAACATCCTGGTGGCAGCACTAATATACATGCAAGAACAATTCTAAGAACGTCTATAACAGTAGCCTCATCTAATACAGCACAAACAAGTACATACTACAATATAAACCTTAAACAACCTGACTAAAGTATTGAATGTCAAGTCTTATCTACTATGTAACCAAATATTGTCATAAAACACAGATAAAGCACATCAAGGGTAGCTTAGGTTGGGTTACATTAAGTTTCATCAGGTCTTCTCTAAAATGACACTAAACAATATTAAATCACTGGTAATATGGGTATATATATTTTTTGGTATTGTGTTGGGTTCCTTTATTAATTATACAGAAACCTAAAAAAAAAAAACTTTCATATGGACAGATTTTACGCCTTACATGGGTTCCTGAAATACATAAGCAACCCTGTATTGTTCTGAATACTGCACATACAAAACAACAACTTGTATCAGTATGGAATGACTAAATCTGTAGTATCTGGAATCATTAGCGGTCTAGTTTATAATATACAAAACAGTTGGAGACGTGTGGCAGATATTAGTCTCTGAAGCCATTTTGTGTATTGTCTTATGATGAACAAAATGTTTAGGGGAACTTCAGCATCTGTAACCCTTATTGAAATGCTCATTACAACTTAACAAACACTCAAATAACTTTTTTTTTTAATTATAAATATTTATATAATGTACTGTATATATATATATATATATATATATATATATATATATATATATATATATATATATATATATATATATATATATATATATATATATATATATATATATATATATATTTATATAATGTACTGTATATATATATATATATATATATATATTATTACAAATATACATATATGTATTATGAAACATTACCCTAATGCTGAACACACTAAGGGATTTCCTAAGATTAACCCTCCCAGATTATTTCACCGTTAAACATTCCAATGTTATCTTGGGGATTTAGGTTAGGTTAATGTTAGGTTAGTATTAGGGTGATTTATCTTGAGGTGAAATAAACTACGGGAGGATAATCTTAAGGTGGTCCTACAATAAGTTCTACCTGTGTATAGTTTGAGAATGGCTTTGAATTTACCACATGAACCTGGTCGCACATGATTAGCGGAGAAGAGAATTGGCAGCGGCACCAACTGACCAATGGAGGGACGTGACATAGCTCCACCCACTACTGTGGACCTAACTTTTTTTTTTTTGTATAAATAACAGTACAGTACTCCTAGTTATGTGTTGATTCCTTTGAAAAAGTCTTGTAACAAAACGTCAGGAATAAAGCTCTATCTCTTAGTTGTTTCCTTCACTACCATTTGTCCACAATGAACAATGTTCATTTACCACATTAGTTTTGCAATATGGGAACACTTACAAAACTCATGGAAGCCTGACCAATGACCATGGAGGCAGTAAACATTCTGTCTGCTCACTGGAAAGGGATCATATAATTTTCTTCTCGCTCTCCACCACTGTCTGAGATAAATTGCCAGCTTTGTTTTGACTCCTAACCATATTGTCTTAAAAGTTTCTACATCTTGTACTGTATATCTGGGGAAGGAGTCTACTTATATTCTCTAACATATCTTGTTCTTTAAAATAAAAACTAACATGTCTTGATGGTTCTAGTGTTATGTCCACTTCTATTACACCATTAGCTATTTTAATATTTCAAACAACAGTCTTGGATCAGTGATATGTGAACCTATGTACATAGTTGTAGTTTTAAGCACTGCATTATGTACTTAAGTGTTACTCTTGTTGAAACTCTGTGAATATACAATTATGGACATATAAGTCTAGGTCACCTAGTCCACCATCCCAAAGGAGGAGTGCTGGCAGCAGTTAGTAAAAGTTATGTGTAAGACAAAGAATGGAAAGTAAGGACTTTAACAAAGTTTGGCATCCAACCAATAGATGGCATTCATGAAAGGAAATTTTTATTCTATTTTATTTTTTACACTAATATATTATTATTTAATGAAACGAGGAAAAATTAATAAGTATTTTTGTTCTTTCATGTTCAATATTATGTTGTGCATGTGTGTGTGTGTACTGTATACTGTATAATTGTTTATCTTATTTATTTTCTTTCACTTCTACATTAATTTGTTGTTCTTTTATCTCATGTTCTTGGTGTCTTTTTATATTAAAGACTGACACAACACTTGTGGACACTACGGCCATGACCATACTCCTCCCCTCTACTCGCCAGGTGCCTCGATGGTCATCTTGAGTGGACTAGGTGACCTCGACTCACCTGAGCACAACTGTACATCTAGTTCTTCAATGGTTTCTCTGACATTAGTTGGTGCTATAACACGTGGGCCAGTGGTTGTACAATGTAACTCAGAAGCCCTGTATTTTATCTTCCATGACATCTTGATCTGCCCAGTGTGATACATGTACAGCATGCGGTGATCTGTTGAATCTATAAAACATATCTCTGCGCTTCTGGTATAATAATTATGTGTACACGGTTAGCTGTCAAACTGTTGATGGGACATTCTACACACACAACATCCTACAGTGAACAATGGATGAGTATTTTACATTTATCTTCCTATTTATGAATGTTGCAGTACCATTATACATACAGCAGCACTCTACACTAAATCTTATAGAACACTTCTCTGGCAGGACAAACACTGATTCAGTTTTATTTGTCCCAATAAATATTTTACTTATCCCATAACCCAATAAGTACTGTACTGTATAACTGCTGAAACAACACCAACAAACATACACAAACCGTTCTGCAAATATTTATTAACTTAAAAATGTAACGTAATATAAAACAATATACTGTATACTGGTAACTGAAGTACAATGACAAAACAAACACATATTGCAACATTATACACGAAACATCTACCTGTCAAAAAATCCTCAACATTGTGTCGAATTCCTTTGATTGCAAATAATTAACATATTTTGAGAACACTGTGATAATGCATTCATAAAAACTTGTTCGGTAAGGCAAGTGTCAGGGAGCGTATACGCATCCGATAATAGTGAATTCATCTCTGGGTCATGTGAAGGAATGTCAGGTATATATGGTGCTGTAGTTGTGTGTACCATCCCACTGTAAATGCTGCAAGAACGTTCTACTCATAACACCTCACTATAAAATGCATAAATAATCTGTAAATATTATAAATAATAAAAAAATACCTCTACATAAAAGATTTAAAACAAAATTATAAAATCAAGACAATTATCAAACATTCAAGATAAAAATTCAATATGAATATATGGCAGACACAGTTAAGCTCACACACACACTCACACACTAATACAGTATTTAATTTAGACAAAAAATATTAAAAATTTCACGTCTTGATCCAATTGACAATTTTTCTGCCCACTGGCTCCGAGTACTCCAAAACAAAAGCATGTTGATAGCCATCCTCACACAAGATGGCACTTACTCCTTCAATTTTTGCTTTAAGATCATCCCGGTAAATCTGTGGACACCAACCATCTGTCGCACCGTAGTAAAGTACTATATTATCTTTATGCTTGTCGATGGTCACTGTGTCCACATCACACACCTGCATCAGTTCATTGTAAGCCATCCACAATACATTCTGCATCACTTTGGGGTGAAACAGTTGGATGGTGGCCTGGAAGCTGCAGTCTGCCACTTTTCTACCCCTGAAATACAACTTTAGAAGTCTCTCTTTGACTCTCACTGGCAACAGCCAGAGACAAGCTGTCAACAGTACAACCAGCCAACGAAAGTAACACAACATTGGCCACATACGTCTGCCATTGGGAGTAATCTTCATTCTCTCGACAGTGGGAAAGAGAAGATAATTCTTGACAACAGCTACCTCAGAATTTGATTCAAAATATTTCAGGATTCTGAGTATGATTTGGCAGCCAATGGAATGTCCAACAAGGGTGACTTTGGCACCCTTAGGAATGTGGTCTTGGATGAAGGCAATCTTGTGAGCTATTTGGTCCTCGAGGTTGTACACATGAATGGTATCTGTGGAGAAAGAAACATTAGGAAGAATGTTTAGCATCTAATCATGGGCGTCCGCAAGATTTTTTCCAGGGGGGGTGCAAGAAAGCAAGACAAGACCTGACAACAGTTTATTCAAAACAGGTACAGTATAAACATCCATATATAAGTACCCGGTACTGTATGATCAAGTATAATCGAGTTACTTTCAAGTACGGTGTGGTCAATAATATCATTTATCAGTGTGATCAAATTATTAATCACTAAAATTATCATAAGTTTGACCTTAATTAAGCATAAAAAAATAACGAAAGTATTTCATTTGATATCCTTAATGCTGAAAATCTAGGGATGGCCAATGCTAGCTGTCTGAGATGATGGTGACTTGTTCAGAACATTAGCAATGTACTTTCAAAGGTTAATTAAATACTGCAGGCGGCACTTATTAGCTTCAAATCGACCAATCGCATCTTCAGTGAAGGCTTTCTTTCTATCTAACATCTTCTGGCGATGCACGCTGAGCATGCACAATCCAGACAAGTGTTCAGTTGACATTGTTGATCGAAGCCATGTTTTGGCACGTCTCAGGGTGCAGAATGACCGCTCTACCTCACAAGTGGTGGCTGGAAGTGTTAGTAGTGCTTCTCGAATAACAGGAAACAAATCACACTGCTTCAGAAGATCCATCAAGGACAAGGTTGCACAGGAATCAGATGCGGTTTTCTTCTGGGAACGTTGACGCTGTGTTCACATTTCAAACCGATACTGAAAACTCCTCAGCAAAACTATCGATGATGTAGATATCAATAAATGAGCCAATTCTTCCTTCATTCAGCGACCACTGGATTTTTCTCACATTTCCACACAACTTGGTTTTGCAAGTGACATGCTTGGTATACATGAACTCATTGTAGCAGTCTTTGAAACACACTAATAACTCAATAATTTCCATGGCAGTAGACGTAAATAAATGTTACAAAATATTATCCCTAATGTTACCGAACTTAAGAGCATCCACTACATTTGTTTTGCTCTTATTTTCATTTATAAACACAAATATTACCAAATATTATAAAGTGTTTATAATTATGAGTCGTATTGTACTCGACAAATTGTGTAGTTACCCAAATACAGCATCATTATCGTTATCAAAATAAAAAATATAAAAAACACTATTAAAGTTACATTACAATATGCAAAGTACAGTACAATATTTCTGAAAATTGCTAATTTAACCAACTGTAAAATAATGCATCGTTAGTTTTAATGACAAGTGGTTGCGGCTTCATCATGACCTAACACCAGGTATACACAGTTCCTCTGTAATGTCAGCATCAGTTGTTGCTCTTGCCAATGACATCGTAACTCACACAGAATTGTCAAAAGTACTAGGTTGCCAAAAGTGTCCATTGTGGGAACGTTAAAGAAGTAACAGCCTACTTAAAAACTTGTAATATCATATTCATATTGTGAACAATGATTGTGGAAAAAAAAAAATCTCATTGTCCAGGAGGGTACAAATGCACCCCTTTGCACTCCCCTGCAGATGCCCATGCATCAAGTATAAATAGAATAAACAATATTTTCATCACAATATTGTAGTTAAAGGACTTAAAAATAATATTGATTGTCAGCATTGTATTGCAAGTATTCTCAGGTAATTGCATTAATTATATACTATACAGAATTTGTCCTATTAAATAATGCTTAAAGTAAAATTGCATTGTAAGTCTCAAAACTTGGCCATATAATGAATTTGCTAAGTTTCTGAGGATGGTGAATGCTTCCTGCAGTGTTGTCTTCCTTAACGCACTATAATAAACACTTTGGCTCAACAGGTAAAATAATTTCTCCTTAAAATTCTAAGATTAGATTAATATAATAAAGATAAAGTTAAATTAGGTGAGTTTTGGTTTGGTGAGAATAGGTAAGGTTTCGTTAAATTGGGTTATGTTAAGTTAGGTTATATTTAGAGTTTACGGTAAATTAGGTTGTGTTATGTTAAGTGAGCTTAGGTTTTGTCAACACAGGTAAGGTTTGGTTAGATTAAACTATACTCTACTGTATTTAGATAGTGTAGGTTAATGTAGGTTATGAGACTGAAACACTCTTCATCAATCATTCTTGTCCCTTTCATTTTTCCCATTTTGAATAATCATATCAATGAAATTCCCTCCCTCCCTCCCAGAGACTTCCAATAATATAAACATACCCTGCAAGTTTTTTCATACACAGTATATACAGTGCAGTACAGGTAAATTTATAGTCTTGAATTTTACAGCTGTATCCCACAGATGGTTCCTCCTAACAGTCAGTCACAAAAGTCACTATGTAAAGTTTCAGTATGATGTCGTCATTTTCACAAGTTTTCAGAAAGGTTAATACTGTATTGTAGTACTTGTTGTCTTTGAACTCACCTGGACAATAGGTCATGTGAGAAGTATGGCAGTGTCCAGCGTGGGAGACAGTCCATAAAGCGTGGGTGCTCTTCAGGCTGGCATGGATGGTCTCCATGAAGCGTATATAATAAGATGCCAGACCAGGGTTGCCTGATGGAATAACAGATCCAATACATAAGAATTTAACTTATATCCATATATCAGGTAACACAAATATATTCCAACTTTCCTGACATTCAAAATATAGTTCACTGCTTTTTTTTGTACTTCTAAAATTAATGATGACTTTGAAGTTTCAGATCTTTTACAAACCAGGAATGATGAGGATAATGTTTTCTGGGTTTTCATTGATAGACTGCCCAAGAGTCAACACTTCTGTGGGCCGTCCTCTTACTAGTACCTCATGTCTTGCAACACTGGCGGCCATCTTGACTTTACTGCACCAAAATATGTGGCGGCAACTGAAAAATTAAATATATTTGATATTGATGTGTTGAAGTAAGAAAAAATTTGAAAACAACTTCAAGAGATAATCCAGGATGAATTATTTACAGAAAAATGGATCTTATGAAGATTAGACATCCAAGCTTACTTCTTCTGATGACTAAACACCATCATGCTACCTGGAAGGATTAGGTTAGGTTAAGTTATGCTAGATCAAGTTAGGTTAGAATCAGTATTAATTATCAGGTGAAATAAGCTATGGTGCATAAAGTTCAGCTGGTCTTTACAACAGATAATGTTAAGTCACATTACTGTTAATATTCGCCCATTGACTGTCCGCAGGTTAGGTTAGGTTAGTTGGTTCCTTTGGTATGAGCATAATATTTTGGGTGTGTTTTACTCAAATCTGACCTCCATTTTTGTGCAAATTAGCAGTTTCTGTTAAAATAAAAATATTCATTGTTTGCAAAAAAATTAAATTTGCAAATAAAATGAAGGTTAGATTTGAGTAAAACACCAAAAAATACAAACAAACAAACAAAAAACATATATATATATATATATATATATATATATATATATATATATATATATACACATAATCTCATTGCAAAACCTGAGGACAGCCAATGGACGAACATTTACCCAAATTATAAACATAAGAAAAACTATAAGCAGGTCCAGATGCTTTAACTTACTAACCAGAGATGAGCTTCAAGAAGGTTGGATGTTGCTCGTCTCACGAGGATGGTGACAAGGCCGAGTCTTACACAATAACATTCATATTTGTCATCTGTTGTGATGTTGTCTACAATTCAAATTACAATATTCACCAAGTAAAATATAAAACAAATAATCCCTTACATTTACTACTCACCTGGGACACATGCTTGACCAGTGAGCAGGTCTAGAATGACCAAGGAATCTCTATACTGCTGAAGATATCATCCAAATGTAAAGTTATTGAGGAACGTCATCTATAAGATTAGGGATTTCAACATTTATTGGATCAATATATTAGAATGTTACTAAATTTGTGTTATTATCATTTTTAAGGTAAATATCTAGGATAATGTCACTCTTCAGCAATTAAATAAAAAACATCAACGAACGATGTCAGACTTGCTGAGACTTACAATATATTATTTTGTTTTTCAGCGATGGTTAGTGGTTCATTGTGGCTGAAAGCAGACAGTTGTTATTGTTCGTTTAAATTCACCGGGGGCACGAAGCATCTGCAGACGATAGCGTACTTACCACTGTGACGTGACACTGTACAAGATAAGATTATTATTCTCCCAAAAACAAGTTGACCAGACTCCTCCCTGGCACACCCTGCCATAGCTCGACTCGATACGCTTTGTTACACCGCCAGCGATAATCAATAATCAACTTTACAAACAGTTTATGTCCACCAACTTAAAAACTCATGTCTATATCAACGTAAAGATTTGTAAGTAGTGTATGTTGGTATGATCATGAAGACTTACCAGTAGAGACCGACCAACAGCCTCACCTGATGATGCGCGAACTCCACAGTCACACGTTCGGTTTTGACCGTTACATAATTAAGATAAATAATAGTTCATAAGTAATTGCTTTGTTAAAATAAATATTAATTCATATTATATATATATTATATTTAATATGATTATATAAAACAATTATGTGAGAATGGGACGTAAATCACAATTATTTTAAACTTAAGCCAAGGTTTCTTATCACCTTCGTACAACAATCAGCTGACGAGTGTAAACATCCGAGTACATTTAACCTGACAAAGAATGAATTAACAATGATAAAGTTTTCTACTTAAGGAAAGGAAAGTTTTGTTAATTTTAGCGCATACCACCAGAAAATAAAAATAATTTACCGACTTGGCCGAGTTTACAATGAACATTAACTGTAAAGAGAAAGTTGTCAGGGCATTATTTTAACATCCTGGTATTTATTCACCTTATTTACCTAATGCCCACGGTATTTATTCACCTTATTCACCTAATGCCCACCCTCTTAATGTGGTCATGCTGAGGGTAGGACGCCAGTGGTTTGTGTAGGATTCCTGACATTGCTCTTGATAACTGTGTCTAGGAGAACTCAACAGTTTGGGCTGGTAGGCCGTTCCATAGATCTACCACCCTCTGTGTGAAGAAATATTTCATTATATTCGTTCTTCGTGATATCTTGTCGAGTTTGTAGTTATAGTCCCTTCTTGTTCATGGTGCGTGACATCACAAAAAACGGTTCTGGTTCACGTTTTCCATCCTTTTCAGGATTTTTAATGTTTCATTGAGATCTGCCATATTGTGCTTTGTCTGAAGGGTTGTTAGTCCTAAGGCCCTCGGTCTACTACTTCATAAATAATCGAGATGACAGTTCGGGAATCATCTTGGTTATTCTGTGTTGCACTACATGTGGCAGCACATGTTATATACCACACACTACATGTGGCAGCACATGTTATATACCACACACTACATGTGGCAGCACATGTTATATACCACACACTACAAGTGGCAGCACATGTTACTGTATATACCACACACTACATGTGGCAGCACATGTTATATACCACACACTACATGTGGCAGCACATGTTATATACCACACACTACATGTGGTACCACATGTTATATACCACACACTACATGTGGCAGAACATGTTATATACCACACACTACATGTGGCAGCACATGTTATATACCACACACTACATGTGACAGCACATGTTATATACCATACACTACATGTGGCAGCACATGTTATATACCACACACTACATGTGGCAGCACATGTTATATACCACACACTACATGTGTGTATACCTCTACATGTGGCAGCACATGTTATATACCCCTACATGTGGCAGCACATGTTATACCACACACTACATGTGGCACATGTTATATACCCTACATGTGGCAGCACATGTTATATACCACACACTACATGTGGCAGCACATGTTATATACCACACACACACATGTGGCAGCCATGTTATATACCACACTACATGTGGCCATTGTATATACCCACACTACATGTGGCACACATGTTATACCACACACTACATGTGCCAGCACATGTTATATACCTCACACTACATGTGGCAGCACATGTTATATACCACACACCATGTGGCAGCACATGTTATATACACACACTACATGTGGCAGCACATGTTATATACCTCACACTACATGTGGCAGCACATGTTATATACACACACTACATGTGGCAGCACATGTTATATATACCACACACTACATGTGGCAGCACATGTTATATACCACACACCATGTGGCAGCATGTTATATACACACACTACATGTGGCAGCACATGTTATATACCACACACTACATGTGGCACATGTTATATAAATCACTACATGTGGCAGCACATGTTATATACCACACCACATGTGGCAGCATGTTATAACCACACACTCACATGTGGCAGCACATGTTATATACCACACTACATGTGGCAGCACATGTTAATATCACACACACTACATGTGAGCACATGTTATATACCACACACACATGGCAGCACATGTTATATACCACACTACATGTGGGCAGCACATGTTATATAACACACACTACATGTGGCAGCACATGTTATATAACACACTACATGTGCAGAATGATATAACACACACTACATGTGGCAGCACATGTTATATACACACACTACATGTGGCAGCACATTTATACCACACACTACATGTGGCAGCACATGTTATATACCACACACTACATGTGGCAGCACATGTTATATACCACACTACATGTGGCAGCACATGTTATATACCACACACATGTGGCAACATGTTATACCACACTACATGTGGACACATGTTATATACCACACTACATGTGGCAGCACATGTTATATACCACACACCATGTGGCAGCACATGTTATATACACACACTACATGTGCAGCACATGTTATATACCACACACCATGTGTGCACACATGTTATATACACACACTACATGGCAGCACATGTTATATACCACACACTACATGTGGCAGCACATGTTATATACCACACACTACATGTGGCAGCAAATGTTATATACTCACACTACATGTGGCAGCACACATGTTATATACCACACACTACATGTGGCAGCACATGTTATATACCACACACTACATGTGGCAGCACATGGTATATACACACACACTACATGTGGCAGCACATGTTATATATACACACACATGGCAGCACATGTATATAACACACACTACATGTGGCAGCACATGTTATATACACACTACATGTGGCAGAACATGTTATATACCACACACTACATGTGAGCACATATATAATACACACTACATGTGACAGCACATGTTATATATAACACACACTACATGTGGCAGCACATGTTATATACCACACACTACATGTGGCACACATGTTATATACCACACACTACATGTGATGTTAAGAACATGTTATATACCACACACTACATGTGACAGCACATGTTATATACCACACACTTCATGTGGCAGAACATGTTATATACCACACACTTATGTTAGCGCAAGTTGTGTGTTTGTGTCAGGACCAGCTGCTGCAGATTTATTAATTCATTGCACAAAATGCCAGTTGTATCAGTCTGCCAGGCACTAAATGATAATATTTTAATAAAGTTAAGAAGCTAGACTTTTGTGCACCAAATTATCCTCGTGAGCAGAAATATTGTACATTGTATACATTCGTTAATGTCTTGTTTCAGTGAAGATTGTTCTATTCTCTTAAGGTTTATCCACATGCAGTACTGAGAAAACATGAAGGAAAGTAGACTGTCGACTTTTCGGGAAAGTAGATAACCAACTTTCTCGGAAAGTAGATATTTCCCATTTTTCATGATACAAATTTCCCGTTTTCTATGATAATCTACTTCGCAAAATTAGGTAATATTTCCCAAAAAGTCGATAATCTACTTCGCCGAAAAATCGATAATCTACTTTCCCGAAAGTAGATTTTTCTACTTTTCGGGAAAGTAGATAACCAACTTTCGGAAAGTAGATACTTTCCGAAAATAGAAAATTCATCTACTTTTGGGAAAGTAGATAACCAACTTTCCCGGAAAGTAGATATTTCCCATTTATGATACAAATTTCCCGTTTTCATGATAATCTACTTCGCAAAATTAGTAATATTTCAAAATTCGATAATCTACTTCCCGAAAAGTCGATAATCTACTTTCCGAAAAGTAGAAAAGCTATCTACTTTTCGGGAAAGTAGATAACCAACTTTCACGAAAGTAGATAACAACTTTCCCAAGTAGATATTTCCCGTTTTTTATGATAAATTTCCGTTTTCTATGATCATCTACTTCGCAAAATTAGGTAATATTTCCAAAATTCGAAAATTCATTTCGAAAAGTGGATTATCTACTTTCCGAAAAAGTAGAAAATCTTATACTTTTCGGGAAAGTAGATAACCAACTTTCGGAAAGTAGATATTTCCATTTTTTATGATACAAATTTCCGTTTTCTATGATAATCTACTTCGCAAAATTAGTTAATATTTCAATTTCGAAAATCATTTCCCAAATGTCGATAATCTACTTTCTCGAAAAGTAGAAAAATTCATTCATTTTTCGGGAAAGTAGATAACCAACTTTCCCGGAAAGTAGATATTTCCCATTTTTATGATACAAATTTCCGTTTTCTATGATAATCTACTTCGCAAAAGGTAATATTTCAAAAGTCGATAATCACTTTCTCGAAAAGTAGATAAATCTACTTTCGAAAGTAGATAACCAACTTTCTCGGAAAGTAGATATTTCCCATTTTCATGATACAAATTTCGTTTTGTTAATCTACTGCAAAATTAGTAATATTTCCCAAATCGATATCTACTTTCTCGAAAGTAGATAAATTCACTTTCGAAAGTAGATAACAACTTTCTCGGAAAGTAGATATTTCCTTTTTCATGATACAAATTTCCTGTTTTCTATGTTAATCTACTTCGCAAAATTAGGTAATATTTCCTCAAAAGTCGATAATCTACTTCCTGAAAAGTAAAAATTCTTTTCGGAAAGTAGATAACCAACTTTCTCGGAAAGTAGATATTTCCATTTTTATGATACAAATTTCCGTTTTCTATGATAATCTACTGCAATTAGTAATATTTCCCAAGTCGATAATCCACTCCGAAAGTAGATAAATCCATTTTCAAAAGTAGATAACCAACTTTCCCGGAAAGTAGATATTTCCCATTTTCTATGATACAAATTTCCCGTTTTCTATGATAATCTACTTCGCAAAATTAGGTAATATTTCCCCAAAATTCGATAATTTACTTTCCAGAAAAGTCGATAATCTACTTTCCCGAAAAGTAGAAAAAAATCTACTTTTCGGGAAAGTAGATAACCAACTTTCCCGGAAAGTAGATATTTCCCATTTTCTATGATACAAATTTCCCGTTTTCTATGATAATCTACTTCGCAAAATTAGGTAATATTTCCCCAAAAATCGATAATTTACTTCCCAGAAAAGTCGATAATCTA